GAGGCATGGTTCTGGGAACTGGACCCCTTCGCACAACCAGGTACACTGCCATCACCACCACCAACTAGGCAAAGAGCATGCCAAAAACATCACCTCCACGTGGGTGGCCCACCACAGCCACCACAATAACCATGGCTGCCGCCAAAGTGGCTAGACTCCACAACAACCATGCAGATGGTCTGCCAGCTACCAAAGTGCACTGACACAATGAGAGTCACCAGCAGAGACCAAAGAAAAGAAAAGGAAGTCTCTCTCCACAAAGCTCATTCCAGACTGACAGAAGAAGCATCTGCTCTATGATAATACTGGGGGATCTGAACACACCTCTTAGCATTGGACAGATCATCTGAGCAACAAATCAACAGAGTAAGCATTACTCTTTCAGAAGGAGAGAAGAAATCTAGGGTAATTACAGGGGAGAGGGGGGATGGGGAGGGGAGGGGGAGAGACTGGACAAGGGGCATAAAGAATAAGTATGATTTGTAACAATATACATGCTAGTAATATTGATTTGATCAACATATGTCAACATTGAACCCCCAAAATATGTATAATCAAGTATGATTCAATAAAAAAAAAAAAAAAAAAAAAAAAACAGAAACAAAAACAATCAAAAAGTGCAGCATCTCAAGCAACTTAAGATTTTGTGAAATTGATGTTTGAGGTCAAATAGATTACATGACTCAAAAACAGTTGTAGTTATAATGATGACTGTAACCTCTAAGATGAATGTGAAGAGCATGACTAAAATTGTTTTTGGAAATGTGACTGGAATAAAATAATATTTTTGATATATTAAAAAAAAAAATTTAACCAAGGAAATAAAAGTCCTCTACAATGAAAACTACAAAACATTGGTGAAAAAAAACTTGACAAATAAATGTAAAGACATGTCATATTCATGGGTTGGAAGAATTAACAACATAAAAATGTCCATATTACTGAAAGCAATCTACAGATTCAACACAATCCCTATATATATATCGATGACATTCTTCACAGAAATACACAAAACAATGTTAAAATTTGTACGGAACCACAAAGGGGGAACATCACTCTACCTGACTTCAAAATAAGCTATAAAGCTACAGTAACCAAAACAGCATGGCACTAGCATCAAAATAGATAAACTGACCAACAGAACAGAATACAGAACCCAGAAATAAACCCACACAGCCAACTGTTTTTCAAAAAAAGGTGCCAAAAATATACAGTGGGGAAAGAACAGCTGGGAAAACTGGATATCCACACGCAGAAGATTACAACTAGACCCCTATGTCTCACCACATACAAAAATCAACTCAAAATGCATCAAAAACCTAAACTTAAGACCCCAAACTATGAAACTAC